TTTTTTTGTTTGGATTTTTTTGTAGAAAATACCCTTTGAAGCGGTATCTGTGTTAGAGCGCCACCTATTGTTTGTTTTTAAGCCCAAAACAATTCAGAATCCTCATCTACCTTTTATGGCTGATAAAATAAATTAATTTTAATCAGATAAGAGATGTTTTGCCGTCAATTTATCGATCACGATTCAACTTTTCAAGCTCTCAAGCATCAAGATCATCCGGCTATAAGCATATTTTGCATAGCCCGATATTGGATTTGTTCTGAGACTAACAGAACATCATCCGGCTAACACACATTTTCCATTAGGGACTTGGTAGCTCGCGATATAAGTTGCAGACGTACTTTGAATATTTGATTTCGCAATCCACGTTCGAAGGCCTCTATATTTCACGAAATTACGCCGCAGATCATCAATCAGGGGGCAGAGATTCCCGATATCAATAAACGGCAGTAACTTTCGAACTCTCGATTCCTTTCTCAGATCGAGAACGGGAAAAACGTATTAAAAAAAATTACTGGCAGTCCATCATATTGTGCAGAAAGCTATATTGAATATAATCAATAATTGTTATCATTACGTGTACGCGAGATATTTAGATAAAATTAAAATCGTTAAACATTTTAATTTAAAAAAAATGTCTATTTATCTGAAAAGAAAGTTTATAAATTTTAAATTTGAAAAAAAAATTTCTGCTTTTGTTCCTTTTTTTCCATCAGAGTATTTGTTACTTTTTTATGCTTTATGCGCATTTAAATAATAAAACTGTACCTTCAAATACACCGAAATTAGATGTACTCTACACCTTCACTATATTTTTGGCTGGGCAACAAATTAACGTTAATAATTTTTGTTTTACAAAAACCATACGATACGAGAACCATACTCTTTGTATAATATTCGATTCCTTCAAACTGAAAATCGAATCGACGGGAATAACCTTCGCGCGAAACTTTTTCCAGTCGCGACAAATAGGATTATGTGGGGTAGAGTTCCCATATTTCCAATCCTTTATTGATAATTGACTCAAGCATGCTTCGTGCGTCCGTCCTAGTGAACTGCCTGGCGATACGTCCTTCGGAAGTTGCCACAAATTCATTTAACGGGAAACTTTAAAGTACCTGGGGATATAAATCATCGTTTGCATTTCGCTATAATTTCGGTAATTGCCGCGCCACCGCCGGGATATTCCCGCAGGGGAAAGTTTGGAAAGTGTCGGAAAAAATGGAGAAGAGGAGTTGCTGATGTTGCGGAAAGTTCTAGACAGTTTACGGACGACGCTTCGAGGGAAAGTTAGATAGATATTATTTCAGCCAACTAAGTTCTTTGTGTTTATCCTATTTTTTATTTGAGAACTTTTGCAATCGATGTGTTGGATCTAGTTTTTGTACAAAGGAGGGTTTCCTACACTGTTAAATTAGATTTTTTACATGGAAACTCTACAGCAATTCATTAGTCGATGTTATCTACAGCGACTTCAGTAACAGTCCAGACGAATTAGAGTTCGAACGTAATAAAATTATTAGTAGACATTTTATTGCAGTTTAGGATTGTGAGGCGTATGGAGAATGATAATATCAAAAAATAGGCCAGGAAAATAAGCTGGGAAATTACCGTTCCGTTACTTTTTGTTTCGGCAAGCTGAATTTATCACTATAGATGCTAAATATTATGTTCAATAACATGTTAGTTTCCACAGTCATAAAAATGGGAGGAAGATTGTTTACAGGGTGGTTAATTGTATAATTTCTACGTAAATTCACGTTTTTCGCTTATAACTTTTTTCCGTTAATTTCCACGAGAAAATAGTAAAGTACTTTTTTTTCGTCTTCAAAAGACATACAAAAGTAGCCCTCGAGCGTAAAAAAATATTGATTAGATCAAAAGTTATAAACAGAAGAAGTTTATTTATGACTTTTGAATTAAACATTTATAATCTACACTATGCAAACTTGGTGATGTATCTTATGAGTAACATTTACTATAATATGCAAACTTGGCGATGTGCACTATAGGATACATAATATATAACAAAGTATTTACACNAAAGGAAAAAAAATATGAGCTGTGTCCTATAGGATACATCGCCAAGTTTGGATTCATAAAAACATTTAAAAAATTCAGAAAAATAAACTTTAATTCTTGCTTTTTATACATATAAATATATTTAAATAACATCTTTAGTGACGTATTGCAAACAAAATTTAAAAAAATTATTTTTGGTTATGAAAATTCAAGAAACAATTACGTTCCTTCACCAGGCACAGCCTCATACCGCATTTAGGTGGTCTTGCAGTACAGGGCGTTTGATTATGTGACGTGAAGAGTGCGGTGTTTCTGCAGAATTCCTTTTTCGTTTCACTCTATCTTTCATTTTCAGCAATTTCGCAATTTCATATCTAAAATCTTTCAAACACACTTCTTCATCATGAAAAATATATAGCATCCTCTAAAACTTCCCTTATTGAATTCGGTAAAGAGGGCGCCTCAGAACTAAATGAATCTTCCAGTGATGTTGCATCAGGTGCTACATTATCCATTTCATAAATTTTTAATACGCTTTCGACGTCATCATCGCTAGATACGTCTTCATCATCGGAAGCTCCATTTTCAGGTGGTAGTAGTGCAATAATTTTAGCAGTTCTGGATGAAAATGTAGGGCCGAGTTTAGTTCCCTGAGATATATTAATTGTAATGGTGCCTATGTTTTTATTAGACAAACACCCTCGCAAATACCTTTAAAAATATATTTTTGAAAAACACTAAAACGTTGTTACAGTCAAATATTGCTATAAGAATATTTGGCAATGTGTCTTATAAATAACAGCCACTACACTATGCAAACTTGGTGATGTATCTTATGAGTAACATCTACTATAATATGCAAACTTGGCGATGTGCACTATAGGAAACATAATATATAACAAAGTATTTACACCACAAAACACATCGTGTGAACTACAGAAAGTGTATAGAATCTTATTAAAGGTGTTTGTCTAAAGAGTTACGACCAATAACATGCAAATTGTATTACAGAAAAGTGTAAAATTTGATGAAATTTGCCTTAGGTGCTGACCAACTGCTACAGCCTGCGGCCATTTTGATTAAATACTTGAGTAGTTTTACTGTCACAGAAGAGATGACTCTGTAAATGCGTTGCAACTTTGGAATTGGATTATATTAATACCTAGCAGTCATAACAAAGGGCTATACGTGCTATTCTGGCATTTGTGATTTTTTAAAAATTATGTATCCTATAGTACACATTACCAAATTAAGGGTTAAAAAAAAATCGTCAAGGTTAGCTGAAAAACAACGGAGTTACAAACTGTCAAACATATTATTTTCAAGCGAATTTCGCTTATTTAACGGCAGGACTATGAATATTATCGTCATTTTCTTGGAACTCACTCTCGTTCGCTTCCCCCACTCTTCCGCCGCGCCACGGCTCGCCGAAAATCAAGCGACCCACTGACTTTTAACAATATTTCTTATTCACTTAACATACTTCCACAAATAAAATATGTTTTCCTGGAAAAGTACTCGTGTTGCCGGTTATGACAGTATTTTTTTTTTTGCCGCTACCAACCTAATTTGTTTAACAATAGGCCATCAAATTTGACAGTCTGTAACTCCGTTGTTTTTCAACGAATCTTAACCATTTTTTTTTAACTTAAAGCTCTTTTCATAAACATTCCGAATATGTGATAATATATAACTATATCACGCTCGTGTGTTGTATATTTCATTTTGCAACTTAGGCTAAAAAATTCAGGTTGCAAATTTGAAATTAAAAACAAACAAATTATAGATTTCAATGTATTATTATGAAATCTACCATGAAGAAAATCACTGCGATTGTGGAAGATCCTCGGGATCGTCCAGACTAAAAATTAGTTAATTTGTTTATAGAGTCATAACTTGTAAACTATTCAACTTACCGATTCCAGATTTCTTGTGAGTTATTAGACAGTGATAAGGAATGAGAGGAGGCGATGCCAAAACGTTCTGGTAATAATAACGCAGTTTATAAATGTTTAACTCAAAAGTCACAAATAAACTTCTACTGTTTATAACTTTTGATCTAATCAATATTTTTTGACGTTCGAGGGCTAGTTTTGTGGTCTTTTGAAGACGAAAAAAAAGTACTCTACTGTTTTCTCGTGGAAATGCACGGAAAAAAGTTATAAGCGAAAACGTGAATTTACGTAAAAATTAAAAAAAATTAACCACCCTGGAAACAGTCTTCCCCCTATTTTTATGACTGTGAAAACTAATATGTTATTGTACATAATATTTAGCATCTATAGTGATAAATTCATCTTGCCGAAACAAAAAGTCGCGAAATGGTCATTTTCCAGCTTATTTTCCTGACGCTCTAGGTTTTCATGGGCAGTAAAAAAAGTAAGGAAACACATAACTTTGCAAATTGTCAACTTAGTGTCACTTTTTACTTTTAAACCAAAATTTTTACTGGTAAATCGGATTTTTGATACAATACATGTATGTTGTTAATAAAATTCGATTTTCTCAAAAACGGTACAAAATATCGACTGATATAAGGTATCCCTTTTTTTGCAAAATGAGAGGGCAATCGAACTATGAAAGAAAAACGCCAAATTTGGCAACGCTGTCAAAGACGTATCAATTTAAATTGATAATTTCGTCTGCTCCTGTATAATCCAGACATACTGAATATCAGTTTAAACTTGAAAATGAACATTACCATGAGTTACCAGTTAATTGCCCAAATTTCATTGTTGTCATGGTAACGACTTATAGGAGTTATAATTGGAATTTGTTTTTCAAATTTCTTTCTTTGAAGGCCAATAATTCCACAACGAAGCCCGCTGGGAAAAAATTTTATATGAAGTAGTACATCTCTTTTGACCTCCCCTGACCTTTCCGGACACCCTGTATATTTCATTTGTGACAGTTTTGACTCAATATACAGAACTGATATAATGTAACAATTTGTTATAAGACTTTTTTCGCATATAATTATAGTTGTTTGAATAAATGATTGAATTACAATCTTTCCAGGGACTTGAGGGGAAATAAACTGACAGAAATCCAAGGAAGGACTCTGGAACCACTTCGGAATCTTACCATTTTGTAAGTAGTCCCCTTATTTATACAAATATGAATTTCCGCTTAATCCGCTTCCATCACCATAAATTAATTTAAAAATTTGTTAATTTTTTGTTTGTTTTAAATCTCTAACCCTCAGCCAGTTTTTAATTGTAATAACCCGCTTACAATGCTTGTAAAGGTAGCACCACAAAGGGCTTTTTGAATGCCTTTGGCGGCAGGTTCCCGGCAATCATGGACCATTTATCCCACAGCTAACGCCCTGCTGTTTATTTGGGAAATTGAATTAAAATGTGAATTAGAAGCTCTGAAAAGTATAGAATTCGGTTAAAAGTACATTATACAGGGTGTTTCAGGATTAAGTCGACAAACTTTAAGGAGATATTTCTCATAAAAAAATAAGAAAAAAAATCAAGTATAAATTTTTTTCCAGAGACTTCATTTTTGAAATATAGGGCGTTAAAGATTTTTAAAAAAATTCGAATTTTATATATAACTTCTAAATGAAGAAGGCTATTTAAGCCAAATTTGGCATGACACATCTTCTAATAAGATACCATTTTTCCATAGAAGTAGAAGTCCCGCAAGCAACCAGTGGTGGAGTTATGGGGACTCAGACTCATTAAATTATAAAAAAAATTAATACGGCCCTACTGAAAATAAAAAATGATGCTGTTTTTAGATAGAACAGTTTGTTATTGACAAAAAGTGTACATTC